ATGAGTAATAATTGAAAACCTTTTAGTCAATAAAATGTAGCTTAGTAAAATAGTCCGTTTATTCCATAAACTATACCTATTATAGTTTTTAAGTTTGTTTCCGTGTTGTAACGTAAACTTTGTAAAATACTACTTTTGTTCCATAAACTATACCTATTCTAGTTTATAAGTTTGTTTCTGTTGATGTAAAAACCTTTGAATCATAACATGTTCTATAGTTGTTTGAAATTTTAACAGTGACGATGTTTGGCATATTTAATAAATTTCACGTTTAAATGCACATTAACGGTAAGAAAATATTATAAGAAATTTATATTTTTAAACACAAAATTTCTTGTGTTTTACTTGTATCCCCCCCCCCCGCACCTAAAAACATGGAGAAAGCTTCAAAAAATACGGGGGGTATGAACTCACCTCGATTGTGTGTGGTCGGTTGAGTCGTGAAGTGCTAACAATGATCATCGGATTAGAATATATGAAGGTAGCTGTATCCTAATAATACTTATAAACGATATCATATTTATATTAATAAGATATTAATTTAAATATTAAATTAAGTAATGGTTTAAATAATAATTAAAGTGTTAGACAACACTTTAATTATGTAAGAAATACTTACAAAAGCCTTAGGAATTATTTGGAATAGTCCTAGACATTTTCGGTGTGCTTGGGTTGTTTTTGGTTGGAGGCTTGAAGATTTGAAGATATTGATTAATGTTCTTGGTGTTCTTGGTGAAAATAAGAAGATCTGGGTCAAGTCTTGAAGATATGGGGTTTACGGATGATACTTGAGAGAAAAAAGTGAAGTGTTTGTGGTGTGAAATATGAGAAATGAGGAGTGTTTGTGATTGAATATATATATATATATATATATATATATATATATATATATATATATATATATATATATATATATATATATATATATATATATATATATATAGGATTGTGTTTTCGGTTATGAATGGGTCGTAGGATTGGGTGTTTAGTTTCTTAATGGGCTTACAATGTGATTTAGGTTCCATGAGATCGGCATCTCCATGCTAGTTGACTTACCAACCGAAAACACCCTTTGGATTTGATTCTTATGGCCGAAAACTCTGTTGTTTGTAGAACTCAAGGCCGAAAACTCATTTGATGTTAAATTCCTTGGCCGAAAAAAACTTGATTCAAGATTCGTTGAACCGAAAACCTTATTTAGTGTAATGCTTTATAGTTTAAGCCTTAAATTTTTTGACTTATGTTGCTTTAAATCAACTTATTTAAACTTGCATCAACATGGGTTTCAATCCACACTTGGTTACTAGCTTATACACATGCCCTTAAGGCTATAGATGATATAATGCAACAAGGATTGAAATGTGATTTCACTTGTACTAGGTTAGGGTTTAGAGTGGCTGGATCTAAAATTTTCCGGTTTGTGATAGGTAGGTCAGCTACTAGTAGGAAAAAATCCACTACAGAGAATAAAGGAAAACACAAGGTTTCTAAGGTAGGAAAGAAAATCAAATGCAGTATATGCAAGGAGATAGGTCACAACAAGGCTACTTGTCCATCAAGAAGACCCCAAGATTTTAATATGTGGGAAAATAAGAAACAAAAACTTTGTCCAAGGAAAAAAGCTGGCTAAGTAAATCCATTTTCAATTTAAAGTTATTTACATATGCTTATCCACTTACATAGTTATATCCTCTAATGTAGGCCAATACAAGTGAACCTCAACAACATGATGAGGTTGAATCGACTCCAATTCAAGGGGTTACTACTCAAAATGATTACCAAGCTACTTCTAATGATTTTAAATCTAGTAGTGCAGGGGGTTATCGTTAGTATATGTAAGTGACTCCTGCTAGAAGTTATGAAGCTGAGGGTTTCATTTTTAATTATGATGAGGTTAAAAATGTTAATGGTGGTCAAAGTCAAGCTAATGTTGAGGTTGAAAATGTTGAAGGTGGTCAGGGTTAAGCTAATCTTGAGGTTGAAAATATTGAAGGTGGTAAGGGTCAAAGTTATGGTGTGGTTGAAGATGGTCAGGTTCTAGTTAATGTTATGGTTGGGGGAACTGTTGAGGTCCCTAATGTGTAAATATAGCAGGTTAGACCAATTTCATAGATTTTGAAAAGGATAAGGAGAAGAAAGTCGGAGAGAATATTAAAGATCAAATTAGGAAAGACAGTTGGTGGTGTTGATGATCCATGAAATTGTAGGGTTATGGGCACAACTACAAACCTATGTATTCGTGCAACCCTAATTGATTTGGATCTAATGTTTTCACTAGTTGAAAATGAAATTGAATACCAAAGAAAAACCCTAGAAACTAGCATTTATTTTAGAAAGTTACATATAAATAGGGTTTTGATGTTTACGTTACTTTTTATGTAGTAATTCTTTGAGCGTGAGTTAATCTAGTATTCAAATCCCTGTTTCAAAAGTACTCGTGAATGTTGCAACAAACCATTGCTATGTCTAAACCCTCAGATAATCTACAATCCAATTCACAATAGTCTTAATTCACTACTTACTTCCAAGGTATGATCGTATGTGGATGTTTTGAATAATCCAATTATTAGGGAAGTAAAACATGCGAAGTGAAACACAATAATAGCCTAATTAACTATGGTTTCAAAACTATTGAATATAAATAAAACACTTATTATTTAATCACCATATTAATTAGAATTAATTAATTGTATAATGATTCGAGTAATCAACTAATCACTTGAATTAAACATCAGTCATGCCATGTCAAAAACATGCATACTATGTCTCTATATGGTCCTTCCTCTGTGAATAGATCAATTGGACATAGTTACAATGATACTCATATCACAATTCCAAATCCATATTACATGTGTAAGAATTTCCAAAATTCTTGTCACTACTAAATGTGTTAGAATCTAACCTTTCATGTAATAGTCCTTTTGTGATGATGTGGCCTAGAAGTCACAAAGTCTTTGCCAAAAATGTCACAAAATGCTCCATTGAAAATTTGTCACCTAAAACAGGTTCATGGTAATGAATTATCAAATTCAAGGTAAATACTTGAACACCTTCTGTGCATTAAGGTTTCTAGCTCACACGTAGATCTCAATAACCAACTATGAATATGGAAACATTTTCGTATTCCCAAACGACTATCAATTCTAATCAAGAATTATCCTTATTAGAAACATGTCAGTATGGACTGACCAAATACTATACTTCCAACTGTCCATAAGCAACCAATCTTCAGCGAACTTCAAATTATCCTTTAACAGTTCATGAGAATAAAAATGTAGATCGATTAGATCTTTCACAGGTATGATTATGGAAATCGAACAAGTCAAAAAAAATACGAAAGTAAACACAGGATGGAATCAAATGTATGCTTATGATTGAAAATAAAGTCACGCCTCAGCAGAGCTCGACAAAGAACTTCCATTGTAGAGGCAAGCTAGGGTTTAGAAAACCTAGAGAAAATAAATAATGAAAGCGATAAAATCTAAGATTGCATGAATGCAACTTATATACTAAACCCGAGTACAAAAAATGCACAGTTGAATAGGCCCAATACCGGTAATCAAAACTTGGCGAAGGACCGAGTCCATGATGCAATCTAATAATCCCAACAATCTCCCCCTTTGCGTCAAATGAGGCGAGAGATCATTTCTTCTGTGTTGGCTTCACTGTCCTTATTACTTTGAACAGATGAGGAATTATTGCGAGAAGAGTCTGTCGAAACTGTAAGTACCACCTCAACATGTCAGTGAATAATTTCTTATCAGCAGCACTGTTCTGATCACACCTCTGGATGATCTCTAAGATATGCTCCAGGCATGATGTTGAGAAGAGGTGTTTGTCAACAAGAGCGAACAGACATTTCTAAACTTTGCCTCTGAGGAACATAACAATTTGGTAATCTGTATCAATCTTCCCCTTGACCATCGTGTTGACATTGCCTGCCTTGCCCATAGCCTTGATCGTGGTTCATTTGTGAATGACAGAGGCAATATCCTGGTCTATCTTCACTACCTCGTGAATGTAGCATACAAGCATTCGCTTGATATGGTCAATTATTGGTTGGTACTCCTGTGGATTTGACAGTAGAATATTATTGAGGAGTATCCAGTCGTGGGGATTCAGGTTTGGTAGATCAGCAATGGTGAAGTTGTGAACCGAGCCTTCGGAGCCTCAAGTCACTTTGAATTGAACATTAACAAACTTCCCTGCTGAGTAGGGCTTCAAAACCTTGACAGCTGTAATCATCTTCAAACTCTAGTTCAAGTATCGGGGTTAAGCAAACTGCAGGTAGAACTCCAGCAGATCCGTATCTACCTTTAGGTCTGGGGAAGGAACAACAGCAGTCGAATTAAAGCAATGGAAGACAAATTCCTTTCGGGTGATTGGCATGTCGAACTGTGTGTCCTTGGAGTTCTCGAGCCCAAAAGACATAACTGGCTCAAGCCAATGCTTGGCTCATCGATTGCGCATCTTTGAAGCGAAACTGCAATCCAGACAGAAAACATGGACTTTTTCTTCTCTAGGAGCTCCGTCTCCTTTTTCTTTCGCTCTAGCTCAGCCTGTTGTTTCTTGAGTTTTTCTTCCAGCTCTTTTTCAGAGAGCTTTGTCTTTTGAAAAGGATTTTTAGGATTTTCAGCAAATACATCATCCTCATCATCTGTGTCATCTTCTCCAATTTTCTTCTTCTTCTTCCCTTTGTTACTGACCGAAGCTTCATTACCCTTTGGTTTAGTAGATGGTTTCGGTTCAAGAGGAGGTTGAGTTTGCTTTTCTCCCCCTTGTTTCGGTTGGACACCATTCACCAGAACACCCTCGATACGACTAAGGATGTCCAATGCTGGCCTAAGTTTATCAGCCAGATGTCGTCTGGTGGTAATGGTAATTATTGGATCATGTGCTTCCAGGAGATGAAGGAGGATGGAGTGTACATCAGCCACCGAACTCCGAACGACCTCCTTTTTTGACTTCAGATCATTGAGCTCAGTAGTAGCAGTACGCAGCTAGTAGTTTTGCATTTTCAGCTGAGAGGTTCGCCTGTCAAGCTCATCCATGATGCGATTCTCTACAGCTAATTCAGCTTCAAGTTGACTGAGACGATCATTGACATTAGCATGTAGAGAGGCGTTTGCGGCTTCAATCGCTTGGTGTGTAGCTTCAAGTTTGGATCTATCAGACTGAAGAGACCGCTGAAGATTATCCACCGAAGCGTTAACGGTTTGAGCGTTCTTCTGAGCAGCAGCCTGCAAGGAATCTAAAAACAATTGAGCTTCAGAAACTGGTTTACTGACTTTTGCGGTCGCTTCCTTACACTCTTTAGTAGAAGCATCAACAGTAAGTGCGGCTTGTTGACGCTGTGAAGTAGAGGCTTCAATAGCTTTTGCTGCAGCAGAGAGTGAGACACTATGTTCTTTGACAACAGACGAGAACAAGGCCTTTAAAGATATTGGGTTTTGAGAATTCTAACACTCCTAAGTGTACGTGAAACCCTAAATACCTTGGATCTATGTTTTCTCTAATATACATGCAAATGTGAACATCCAAGGTATTATCCTAATCTAGCATACAAAACAATGAATATAACAAGATAGAATACTTACCTCTTTGATGTAGAATGTCTTCATGAAGCTTGAGTTCCTAGTGCCTCAAGTGTGACACCTCAAATGGTTCACACAACACCAAATACACTTGTAATAACTTGAGAGAAATCCACAACTCATGAAATCGGCTAGCCCTTCTTTTACACACACTGGTGTCGATATTGGTCAAGAATAAGATGCATATATAGTTAGGGTTACACCATGTAAACCCTAATTGACATGGCATTTCATTTCCATGATCCATGGGTACAAAAAACACCATGGATCATCCATGAAGCTTCATTTGGGTTTCAGCCCAACTAGATAATCCATGGAGCATTAGCCCACTATATAAGTATGGATGATTTACACAATCAACCCATATATTTAATTAGTCTTCTTTTGATCACTTAATTAGTCCTAGATTAATTCTTGATCAATACTAATTAAATAATCTTATTAATATATTAGAACTTCTAATATATTAACAAACCTTAAGTGTTATTTCTCTCATTATACTCTATCCTAATACATGATGCCATGCAACCCGAATGGACCATGTCGGGTCGGGTCAAGTTTTACCAAATATAGTTATGGACTTAGACATCAATCCAACAGTCTCCCACTTGGATAAGTCTAAAACTATTATTGCGTATGACTTCAAGAACCGACTGGCAATCGTAGCTCTCAAAAGCTTCTGTCGAACTCTGACCTTGTAGAAGAACTCTGACCACTGTCAATGACATGTCCATTAGATAAGGGATCATATATTCCTCCATTCTAGATATCATATGGACTGAGACATGGATTGTAGCTCATTCTCTCTGTCCATATATTATTTCCCGATTTCCAATTCATGACGACTGACTAATTGAACAAAGCAAATCAGTCCTGGCCCAGCCTAACACTTCCGTTTGTCATCATCAAATCATCGAGGGGCCCACATATATCGCTTTTATCCCTTCTTAGTGCCCTAGGCATTTGGAAAAATTTCAGAATGGATGAATATAGCACATGTAATCGAACCTATATCCAAAGCATATGGGACACGATTCATGATGTCTCACATAAAGACTAAACCAGTCTTTTGCTATAACATTTCCATTTCTGTTTGCCAAGTTCTCATAATTCAGATTATGAAAAGGGATGCCGTAAATCGAATTTTAGAACGCAAATAATGGACCCATATACAGAATTTCCTTATGTTGAGCCATTCCAACATGAAATTCATATATATATATATATATATATATATATATATATATATATATATATATATATATATATATATATATATATATATATATATATCCTTGACTAATGATTAAAACCTCACGATCTAAGCTCATAGATTTGAGATGAAGTATAATTTCCTCTCCCTTAATTATAGCAAAACTACTTTTTCCCAATTGAAACCTTTTGTTTTCTATAATTAACATTGCTAACTTGCAATACTTCATCATAATTATCATGCTCCCACTAACATGATGATTATTAGCATAACACTTATGCTCCCACTAGCTTTGATATGTACTCAGAAATCAGCTGGACTTCTAGAAATCAATACTTTATTGACATTCTTACCAAAGTTCAGATTTCTAATACTAGATTGCTTTGATAAGACTTTATCATAATCATACACCTTATCATAGATAGCTCACAGGTGTGTCTAAACAATTTCAAAATTATGTAAAGGGATGCCGTAATCATAGTCTCAATTGTTTAGACCATTTTGCCACTTCTAACAAGTCCATGTTAGTGTGCCGGTTAACCACACAGCTCCACTAACGACTTGGAGAATTCAAATATCACAATTGCTATCTAACTAAAATCTACTTAGTGAAAGTGTTTCCTCACCATCATTTTCATGAATCAGAGAGAAAGCTTATGACACTTAGATTTAATGGTGTATGTGTTCTTATCCATGTGAATTGTCAAAACTATAGTCACAAGACAAGGATAATGACAAATCCAAACTCATATGGATTGAACTCAATCTTAATTTCTTGCTACGTGGTAGCTCAAGGGCCTGCCATTGCTTCCAAGTTGTTGTGAACCCAATTAAGAACTCTAAGAACTCATATGCAAACCAACTTTAATTGGAATGAGCACAGAATATGTCAAAATGATAGGTTATGAACCTCAAGTCGTGTGCTAATGAAGAACTTCAGGTTTTATTCTTGATTAGTTCTTGAGACTTTCAAGACCTTCAAGACTCCCACTGTCCTCTTGCATATAAGACTTCCTTGTCAGATATTCAAGAGATAGTGTGGATTCTAATCTAGACAAACATTTCACACAATTGGCCTTAGTTGGTCTTTGTTTTATCTAAAACATCACAACTTAGCAATTTCAAATGTACAAGAGTAGAAAACATTTACTCTTACATTTGATAAGTGTTTTAAACCTTCTTTAAGACATGTCTCTCAAGTTATAATCTTGGAGTATGACTCTAAGACTTGTATTGGATTGAAGTATGACTCATCTTCTTGATTTAACCATTTCAACAATTCAAGTTCCTCTTCTTAGTCAAAAGAATACTCTAAGATTTCCTTAGAGAACTAATTTGATATGGTTTCTTAATCATTAAGATGATCACAAAAACTGATACTAAAGTATTCTCCCATCTTTTCAGAGTTGAGAAACTTTTATCCTCCTGCCTAATTTGATTCTTCTTATTCGCTCTGCCTTACATTGAAACTTTTCCAATGTTTCAGAATTATACTTAACCTTGTAAGTATAACCATATTTACTGAACTTTAGTAAATCATGACGAATAGTCTTATCGATCTTTTGTGGTGGACTTAATTAGTGCACAAGAATGTGTACTCGATCCCTTAGTCCATTACTTGACTCACACATCCATGTGAACATGTAGTTAGTCTTAATTTTTTCAATGCTTGAAAGTTCTCATTTATCATGCTATACAACTTGCATGATTCCAAGTTTCTATCCAACTGAAACTTGGGTGATGAGAATCTTTCCTTATTTGGTAAATTTAGATACTACCAAAAATGAAAGAATCAAATTCATATTTTCACTCTTGCTCTTAATGTAATCTTATAAGCAACAAAAATTTCCACAGATGCCATTGTAAGGATATTATTAAATAAATAAAATCAAAATTTTCCTTTTTTTTATTTTAAAACTTTGCGGAAAAACTATCCTTACCGTGCAAAAGCACATGAAAACTTCGCTGTTATCTATTCCTAAGCAATATATCATAACTCCTAAGAAGTAGCTCAATAATCCGATCTACAAACTATGCGATATAAATCCATCTACGCGATCAGATTCAACATATTCTTTCTTTAAGTTTCTTCAGTTCTCTTTTGATTCTTAAAACATCAACATGTGACCCAGTCACATCATGTATCAAGAATCTCATAATAGAAACTTAGCAGAGTTAGATAGTGGACTTTACCTGAAGTAGAGTCAAACTTGTTGACTTTAACATCCTTAGATAATTTGGCAGCTTCGCAACTAATGCCCCTTCCTTTGTTAATGGACCCTTGATAATGGGACTATCTCAGAGTTAGCATCTCCCTTTACCATTTGGTCAACCGAGTTCACTATGGCCAATCCCTTTCCATTGGGAAGAGAGAGCTTTACAAGATATCCAATTTCATCATTTTCAATGTCCATAATGTTTTAGGAAGTTGATCTTAGAAAATAGATAAGATCATTAAGGGTCTTGTCATAGTCTATTTCTTAGGTTTCCCAATGGAACTCACTATGTGACTTAGAAAGTGATTGAGCCACCAACTTTCTCAAGACTTTGACACCCAACTCTCTCGGCTTGTCAATATGTGACTACATCTCCAAGATGTGACCACACATAGACCTTTACTTGCCAATAGGGCTTGAGTGACCTTAAACTTTTCAAGAACTTGTGGGTTAGGGAGAATAATTGGAGGAGGTGAAAGAAGTATGATTTCCATGGGACATCATCTTCATTTAGGAAAGCTTGTTTCAAGTGACTTGGGAAGATCATAGATATCTAAACCAAACATCTTTTGGGAGATATTCAAGATAGTTGATCTAAAGTCCTTAATATGACACCTAATATGAAATATTAAGGCTAGGACCCAACAAACTATTTTATAACTTAAAAGAGGGATGCCGTAATCCAAGCTATAAAATATTTGAAGGTAGGTGAATGACGATTCACCAATTTCCACCAAGATAAACGAAATGTATTATTAGGTTTTAATTGGTTTTGAAACTCCTAGATCTTTGAGATTCATTGAACTGTTCAATGGCATGTTTCAATCTAGAGTGTGCCCTTCAGGTTTTGTGACTGGGATGCCGAGGATCAAAAAACAAGGTGTGAAGTAACCATGCAAATTAGTTGGTACCCTTAAGTGTTTACCCCTCAATCGATGTGCCGGTTAACCACACACACTTCATCGATACTATGATAAACATTAAGTTACCCTTTGCCTACCTTGTTAAATACGAGTTAGTGTGCCGGTTAACCACACACGCTCGACTAACCGACTTAAACAAAGTGCAAAGTGTAATTTCATGGATTAGTACTTTATTCACATTTTCCTAAGTAACTAAGATTGGGTATTATTAAGAGTTTAGTTTCTTAGTATTTATCATTAATACTTTTAATGCAGGGAGAATTATAGTCCTGTCAAACCCGTTTGGCTAACGACCCTCCACCGGTCAAGGAAGCGGTGGGTGAGAGTGGACACCCATTAAACTGCCATTTTATAGGCAGTAACCTTATACCCGCCTTATAGACCGGCTTCGTGAATGAGGCCTACTAACGGTAAGACTGACTTTACTCTTATACATATATATATACTATTAACTTATAATATTATAAAGTATAAGGGTTGAATTTTAACTTTTAAAATAAAAAGGGTTAACTTGGAATTAAAGTATTCATAAGTGAAACTTTTCAAATTCCAAAACTTGAGATTCAAAACTAATTAGTTCCATAACTTATGTGTTTAAAGTAGTTTTAATCCAAAAACTCTTCAAGTTCCATAACTTGAGGACAAGTTATGGAAGACTTTAAATTATTAAAGAAT